CTGGAAAGATACACACTAAACTGTTTCCTGTAGAAAGGCAGTGGGAGGGATAAAGGGGAAAGGGATATTTTTTATTCTATTGCTATCTGTATTGATTGAATTTTTTACAGTACAAATAGATTAACATACTACCTGTGCAATTAATACCATTTAAAAGATAATGAACAGAATGAACAACACTATCAAATGCTACTGAGAAAACAAGAAAGGCAAGGACAGAAAATGCTTCCTTAGGCTTAGCAATGTGGAGACCATGGGGTAACCTTTCAAGAGCCGATTCAGTGAAGGTCAAGGTGGACTGCAGAGCAAGCTAATTCCTCTGTCCAGGAGTTCAGTGAGGAGAGTAGCTGGATGGGGTGGGATGGGGTGAGACGGGTGGGGGTGTGGAGAAGAAGGAGGGTGCTGCTTGGTAAGAAAGGGAGCAATCTGAGCCAAACACACTGAAGGAAATTTCCTGCAAGGGGGTAAGGGGATGAGATGGAACACAGTTCCCTGGGAAGGAAGGAGACTTCTGTGACTGGGATGGAGATGAGGGGTCAGGATGGATTTAGACAAGCTGGAGAGGGGAGTTGAGGGAATTCTTGACTAAGGGTCTTTTAATGAAGTTAGAATCGAGGTCACATGCTAACAGCAAAAACACTGCCTTCTCCTCACCTTGGCTCCTAACAAGGTACACTAATACACTTTGAGGCTGTTAAGTACATATAAGTTAACAGTGATTGTATCTTTTTTGTTGTATTTTTTTAACTAACGTATAATAATGTCTTTGTCATTATATTTTGCATTAAATCCTATTTAGACTATTACCACCAGCTTTATTCTAATATAGCTATATATATTTCCTTTTATTTCAATTTCTTTGCTTTCCAGCAAGTCTCATAATTTTTAATAGTTTGAGAATCTTGAGTCTTCTGATTAGTTAACTTCTAATTGATTAACATTTACTGTAATCAGTGTTAGATCAGAATTTCTGCCACTTTGTTTTCCATTTATTTTATTCTTTGTTCTTCCAGTAGATAAAGTGAATTTACTTCTGATTGAGTTTTATATTTTGTGTTCTCATCGTGGTTTTCATAACCATATTCACGTTTATTTATTCAATTTCTTAAACTTTTCAATCTCTGTATCTTCCTCTTAGTGAGAGGCACTTTCACGTTTTTGTTTTTGTTTTTTTAAAGATGAACAGTAAGGAGATCTTAACCCTTGACTTGGTGTTGTCAGCACCATGCTCTCCCAAGTGAGCTAACCGGCCATCCCTATATAGGGATCTGAACCCGTGGCCTTGGTGTTATCAGTACCACACTCTTCCAAGTGAGCCACGGGCCAGCCCCATTATGTCTTAAATCTATACCTCCAACTCCAATCATAGTATAATACCTAGAATTTTAATTATTATAATTGAAATAGTTTTTTGGGTTCTTTTTTTTTGGCAGATGGCCTGTACAGGGATCTGAACCCTTAACCTTGGTGTTGTAACGATCTAATCAACGAAATATTTTTTTTAAAGATAACAATAAACTTTACAAAAATATTTGGTCACCCTTTTCCCCATATCTCTTAATATTGCTCCGAAAGTATTTTTTGTGAGGATCTTTGTATGGCAAACCTACTGAGATTTAAACACAAGAGTGTTTTTTATATGCTGTCACATTCTAATGCTAATTTGATGGGATATAAAATTTTAATCTATTATTTTTCCTTAATATTAAAAAAAACCCTCAACTTTCTTACATTTAATCGTTTTTGAGATTTCTGTCACTTTAATTCTTTCCTTTGAGAATAATCTTTTTCTGTTAGCTTAGACTTCTTTTTCTGATATTTTTAAATTTCTCCATAACCACATTACTCTCCATACTCATATTCTGCTTGATTTTTCTTCACAGCAATTCACTGCCGGATATTGCATATTTGTTTTCCTCTCTCTCCCAAATAGAAACTCCATGAGAAAAAGGACTTTTGTTCACTATTGTATTTGTCATACCTAGAACAGTGTCTGAACATAATAGGTGCTCCATAAATACAGACTGAATGAATAAATGATTCCTTCCTTCTTTCTCCATCATGATTTAATAGAATGTGAGCAATTACAGTGATTTCGTCGAATTTTTCGCCATTATCCTCAACATAAAGGAAACTGCCTGGCATGTAAAATGCAGTCAACAAAATACCTGTAGTCCTTTACATACAGAAAAGTACATGAAAAATAGTTAGCATGAATTTGCTGAATAAAAGGAGAGTTTTATAAGCTAGAGAAAGTGTCAAGATGCTTGCATAGTAATACACATAAAATTCATCCTGGCTTCAAGCAGAAAAATATTTCACATCTCACATACATTTTTCTAGCTTAAGGGTCCACAAATTACAGCCTGGCCTGAAGGTTAAATCTGGCCCAAGGCTTATTTTGTAAGTAAAGTTTTACTGGAAAAGTCACACCCATCTCTTTATCTGTTGGCTATGGCTGCTTTTAAACTACAGCAGCAGAGTTGAATTGTTGAATTGACAGAGACCAATGAGACCTTCAAAGTCTAAAATATTTATTACATGGTCCCTTACTGGAAAAGTTTGCTAATTCTTGTTCTAGCTAACAACTGAATCTAAAATCTATTGGGGTTCTTTACCCAATAGACTTTTGTCCATAATGTTCATTCAGTTCCTCAAGAAATAAATCACAAGAAACCTGGAGCCAAAACTTTAAATTATTACAGTATGCCTTTAATCTTTGTTTCTGTTCTGGTAAACTTGGCTGGATCACCAAGGACAAACTTTTTGCTTTTCTCTGGAGACCAGAGACTTCTCTAAGGATCTGTTTCTCAGATGCTCCTGTTTCTCAGATGCCTCTGTTTCAGGCTTAACCTTATTTTCCTTTAGCTTTCCCAAAGCTAACAAGGACTCTCCCAAGGTTGGGGGGTATGGTGGAGGCAGTAGGTGACAGGACATGAAACCACCCTGCCTTTCTTATCTTAAAAAAGATCCCTGTCTGTGTCCCAGGTCTATTATGTTTATTTTAT